GATCCCAGGACCCTGGGATCATGACCTGAGCCGAAGGCAGACGCTTAACCGACTGAGCCACCCAGGCGCCCCCGCCTGGCACATCTTTAAGCCTTAGTTTCCCATCTGTCAACCGAGGATAACGGTGCTTTCCTCATGGGGCTGATGTGAGGCTGAACTGGATGAACAGACGTGACGTGCTTAGAGTAGCACGGGCGCTGGCGATCAGGATCATTGCCATTTCGCGTTCATTGTCTCTTTTAGCCTTTTCAGTGACCTGATGAGGCTGATGATAAAACAGCCTCAGAGAGGCTAAGCCACTTGCCTAAATCTCACAGGAGTAGGCGCAGAGCTAGGACTCTGCCTCCATGCCCTTCAGGTCCCTGCAGAGCCGGCCAAGCTGGTCACCAGTGTGGGGGCCAAGGCCGGGGTGGTGTCCTGTGGGGGACCTGGGGGAGGGCCGGACCACGAGTTCCTCAGGCAGCGGGTCTCCTGCTCTCCCCCCGCCTCCAGGGTACAGCCGTGGGGGCTGCGTGGCCCTGGCCACGGGCAGCGCCATGGGGCTGTGGGAGGTGAAGAACTGCACCGCATTCCGGGCTCGCTACATCTGCCGGCAGAGCCTGGGCACGCCAGTGACGCCCGAACTGCCTGGGCCGGACCCCACGCCCAGCCTCACCGGCTCCTGTCCCCAGGGCTGGGGGTCGGACCCCAAACTCCGCCACTGCTATAAGGTAGGCAGCCTGCTGGCGTGGGAGGGGGGAAGAGGAACAAGAGCAAAGAAACAGCTCGCCGGGGTCGAGGGCAGCCCCAGTGGGGCCCAGCCACAGTCCGGGCAACTGGGCCCCAGAGACACTGCTTCCCCACAGCAGACTGCAGACAGAGGTAAGTTCTGATGACACTCTTGCCAGTGGAATCTCAGGTCTGGTACATCGTAGGTGCTCACTGAACAGGAGGAATTGAAAAAAACAAACAGAGATAATCAGTTTCAGAGGTTCCCAAATGTTGGGGCTGGGCTGGCTGCTTTTCAAAATCACCTGGGCAGCTTGATAAAAATAAATTCCAGGCTGCCATTTTGGGGACTGGGATTCACTAGGTTGGGGCAGGGCCCAGTTCTCTGATTTTTAAACTCTGCTGGGTTTGGGAGCCACTAACGTAGTCCAGGGTCTTTTATGACATGAGGAAACTGAGTCCAGGGAGGGGAAGGGACTTGCCCACAGCAAACTGTGGCTCCCCTGGGAGGAAAGCCCAGGTCTTGGGCTGGGTTCGGGGGTCTGGGCAGGGGGTGTTCTCTAGGAGCTGGCTCCCCTCCCCTGGGGCTCATTCTCTGATGAGCAGGATTGTCTTAGCTAGCCTGCACCCCTGTCCTGTGAGGCCCCAGCCCTCCTCCCTACTGCTGTCATGGGAGGGCAGGTGGACCAGTAGGGACAGCTTAGACACCTGGACTTTGTTCCTGTAGGTGTTCAGCTCAGAGCGGCTGCAGGACAAGAAGACCTGGGTGCAGGCCCAGGGGGCCTGCCAAGAGTTGGGGGCCCAGCTGCTGAGCCTGGCCAGCTATGAGGAGGAACATTTTGTGGCCAACATGCTCAACAAGATCTTCGGGTACTGAGCCTGGGGCAGTGGCCTGCATGCACCTGTGTGGGCTCTTGATTTTGCTGGGCACAGGGCAGGGGGCAAGGTGAAGGCGCCCCCAGGGAGGCCTGTCTGAGGGCTCAGAATGACCTGTGTATCCGCAGCGAATGTCAGGACCATCCTGTCCTCCCTCAGGGAGCCCTGGTCTCCCCGGTTGCTCACCGGTGTCAGGGAACCAGCAGTGCCCCCCTCAGACTCACGGCCTTTTACAAAAGTAACTGCCCTCCCCATGCCTCCTCCATGGCAAAATCTGATCCAAGTTGAGCGCCCCTCGCCCCCAACACCATTCCCATAACAGCCCACTCTCCTCAATAAACAGCCTTTCCTGAGAGACAGGAGGAGAAAAGCTACCAAAATGAGCATCTGCCCCTGAGGGTCCCTCCAGGACCCCATGTCTGTCCTGTGGGCCTCCTATGACCCCCAGCACCTATAATCCCTTAGCATTGGAAAAATCCGAGTGGATCCAGGCTTCCCGAGATCTTAATTCCCAGGGACGTGTCTTTCCAGCAAACATCAAGATTACATTATTTGACTAGTAATTGTAGCTCTCATCGGTGGCCTCTCACCATGTCTCGGGTACTGCACTAAACACTGAATCCTCACTGGGTCTCTTCTTCAGCCCTAGGAAGTAGACATTATCATGGACCGATGTGGGCTGATAGAGAGGTTGGGTTATTTGCCCGCGGTCCGGGAGCCGCTCCACGGGCGAACGGGCGCTGGAATCTGCTGCTATCTGATTCCAGAGCCCCAGGTCTATGCTCCATCTCCATCAACTTACTAAACTCCCTGAAGTGAAAACCTAGTCTTGCTGGCAGGGCAAACCCCACCCACAGGGAAGCCAGGGAAGGGAGCCAGGCCACCCACCCCCAGTGAGCTGGGCGCCTGGTCCAGCTAGGTCAGTTCTCTCTGGGGAGAGAACTTTTTAAAGGTGGCCCCAACAGTGTATTGCCGGTGAGTGTGAAGCCCAGATGGAGGGGCCCCAGGCCCTTGGGACTGCCCAGGTCACCCGCACCTGCTCCTCTCATCCCCATCTCTTCTTTCCCCACCCCCGCGTTGTGCTGAAGTGAATCAGAGCCCGAGATCCACGAGCAGAACTGGTTCTGGATCGGCCTGAACCGTCGAAACCCGGGAGCGGGTCAGAGCTGGCGCTGGAGTGACGGCCTTGGGGTGAGCCGGCCTAGAGGGGGCGGGTCAGGAGGTGGGCGGGGCCCAGGTAGGCGCGGCTTGGGGTGGGCGTGGTCCTTCGAGGGCGGGACAGAGCCTGGCGGTGGGCGAGGTTTAGCCGAGTTATAGGGTCTTTGGCCAGAGCCCGCAGGTTAAAAAAAGGGGGGCGGGGTGTCCAGCCCGGGTTGGGGGTTCGCAGCTCAGGCCCGGCCTTTTGTACATCTGTTCTGGGGACGCGGAGGCCTGCGCCTCGTGCCTGACAATCTTCTCCCACTCCGACCTCCAGTTCTCTTACCACAATTTCGACCGGAGCCGGCACGACGACGACGACATCCGGGGCTGTGCAGTACTTGACCTGGCCTCGCTGCAGTGGGTGGCCATGCAGTGCGAGACGCAGCTGGACTGGATCTGCAAGATCCCTCGAGGTTGGGTGGGATGGTGCTGGGAAACGGGGAAGGGGGCGAAGGGCGGCGGGGCCGGGAATCCAGGGGAGGGTCTCCTTCCCTGCAGCGTCTCTGTCCCTGTTGTCCCCGTAGGCAGAGACGTGCGGGAACCCGACGTCAGCCCACAAGGTAAGGCCCCCCCCCCGGGCCTCCCGGCTCTCAGTGGCGTTCGGGAGAGGGTGAGGGGCGTCACCTCCAGGGCAGGGCCTGGCCGGGATGGAACGAAAGGAGTTAGGGGTTTGAGCTGAGAGAAGGGGAACCGGGGCGCCTGGAACCCTGTCGGCCTCGTCTCCAAGCAGGGGCAAGCTTGGGCCTGGAGCGGTGTCTGCCCGAGGGGCCTAAGGGTTCGCAACCCGCCTCTGCCTGCCCTTGGACTTGCCTGGGCCTTGGCCGCAGGGCGAGCAGGCGACCCCTGACTGGCCGCTGCTCCCACGCTCACACTGCCCCCGCAGGCCGGCTGGAGTGGCTGCGTTTCCAGGAGGCCGAGTACAAGTTCTTCGAGCACCACTCCACGTGGGCTCAGGCACAGCGCATCTGCACGTGGTTCCAGGCCCAGCTGGCCTCCGTACACAGCCAGGCCGAGCTGGACTTCCTGGGACACAACCTGCAGAAGGTGAGCACCCCAGTGACCATGGGCCAGCGGGCAGGGGAGGGTAGGCCTGGCGAGAGGAGAGGCCCTGCCAACCCTTATCTGCCTGACCGGTTTCCCCAGTTGTCCCCGGGCCAAGAGCAGCACTGGTGGATTGGCCTGCACACTGCAGAGAGTGATGGGCGTTTCAGGTAGGAGCCTTCCAGGGTCAGCAGGTGCGGGAGGGAGCGGGTGCCTGGATGGCCAGCCACGACCCCAGATAGGAGCTAGGGAGGCTGCTCACAGAGACTGATAGATCTGGATTTGAATCCAGCTCCGTTCCTCCCTGGCTGTGTGGCCTTGATCAATGACTTAACCTTTGTGGGCCTTGATTTTCTCATCGAAAAATGAGCATAATGAGGCCTGTCTGGTAGGATTGCTCTGAGGATTAGAAAAAAGGTATGTGAAGTCCTTAGCATAGCATCCAGTACATAACTGGGCGCCAAATAATGGCAGCTCCTATTATGCCGAGGCCACTCATGAATAAGGCCCCCTCAGGACATGGGCAAAAACATATGATGTCCTCCGGAGGGGCCTCTTTGTGTTCAGTACCCACCTGCCATTCATGAGGGGGCTCGAGGCAGGAGGGACCAGGAGCACATGCATATCTGAGCACACTGTTGCCCTTGGACCTCTGCTCTGGGATTCTTGGACTTTTCTAGTTAGAGAATGAGTGCCCAGGGAGGGCTGGACCTTACCTGGACGCACCAGGTCTTTGGGTCCCCAGTGACCCGGAGCTCAGTAGCCTCACTCTCAGCCTGTAGCCACTGAGCCCCTGGACTCGGGCCCTGCCCTGCCCCGCATCTCGGTGGCCTTCATTGCTGTATACAACGGAGATTGGGCCTGGGGCGAGTCATCTCTGTTCCATGTTGTTGCAGGTGGACAGATGGTTCCATCATAAACTTCATCTCCTGGGCACCCGGTAAACCTCGGCCCATTGGCAAGGATAAGAAATGTGTATACATGACCGCCAGCCGAGGTGAGGGCGAGGGCGGGGCACAGAGGGTGCAGAAGCTGGGGAGAGGGTTGACGTTGGGGCAGTGCGGTGAGCTTGGGCAGGCCCATCAGTCTCTTCTCATTCTCTTTTTTCCCACAACCCAAGAGGGGCTAGACCCAGGGGGGCCTGTCCCCATGATCCAGCAGCCACAGAGGACTGGAGTTCGGAGCTGGACACGGGCACCTGATCCCCATGTCCTCTTCTTAGGGCATGAGGCAAGGGGGCTGCCGGCCCTGCCCTGTGCTAGAGTGACTGCCCTACTCTTTCTGCAGAGGACTGGGGGGACCAGAGGTGCCTGATGGCCTTGCCCTACATCTGCAAGCGCAGCAACAGCACTGGAGAGCCCCAGCCCCCGGACCTGCCACCCACAGCCCTGGGGGGCTGCCCCTCTGGTTGGAACCAGTTCCTCAACAAGGTAGGAGGTGGGGAGGGGCCACCCAGTAGAGTCAGGGGAGAGGATGTGAATGTAGGAAGGCCAAGCTTCGGGAGTCCTGGCCTTTTGGCAACATCAAAGTCATGGCCTCTTGCCTACTTGGCCCCAGTGCCAGGGCTAGACTCCTGGGAAAGTAATTTTGTATAGTGCCCTTGCTAATCTACCAGGGAAGGAGGGTGTCCACATAGTTTGGTGAGTTTTCTAGATTAGTCGCCACACATTTTGATAATGAACTCCTATTAGTAAAACACAAGATTGAACATACAAAATATGTGTGTCTACATTATATATGTGTGTGTAAATAAATATATATTTACTTCTGTACTAATCGACTAATGTTATATATAGTAAACTGTGCACAAGAACAAAAGAATATAAAGCATGAGATAAAGATTGAAAAAGTATTTTTTAAAAGATTTTATTTATTTGAGAGAGAGAGCGAGCATGAGCAGTGGGGAAGGGCAGAGGGAGAGGGAGAGGGAGAAGCGGACTCCCCTCCTGAGCAGGAAGCCCAACATGGGGCTTGATCCCAGGACCCTGAGATCATGACCTGAGCCGAAGGCAGACGCTTAACTGACTGAGCCACCCAGGCGTCCCTGAAAAAGAGTATTTTTAAGTTTAAAAAACTTTTCTTTATTAGTGGTATGAGAAAAGTACTCAAAAATGATCAATTATAATAATTATCATCTTTAAATAATTTAAATAAGAGCAAGGTGATTGCATATATTTCATTCTTTTTAAAAAATTTTGGTCTGACACTTTGTGATTTGGGACTTCACAGGTCTTGTCTGAAGTTCGAATTACTTTAAAACATGGGTTTAATGGTTATTGTAGATGAAAAAGTTGCCTCACAAAGACAAAATATCAAATGGAAAAGGTCGGCCTTTGTGGGCTGGGCTTTCTTCATTTTTCAGTCCTTCTACCAATGAAACAAAGGTTTTAGTGTAAAAATCGGCTAGTACATTTCTGCATTCTAAACCAATCTGCCTCACAAACTAATCAGAAGACCTGATTTAAGACGCTTTAAGAACAAGTATTTGGAAGATTTTTTGAAACCGTTAGGAAATTCTTTTCCCAAGGGTTTTGAGCATGCAGATGGGAAAGTTGGTGGCAGTAACATTAATCAGAAGGAAGACGTTTCTAGACATGTCTGCAGAACGTTCCTTCTAGAGGGTGAGCTTCTTTCCCAAAGTGGTTACTTTTGCACTCCTGGGCTGATTGATCAGACCTGATTAGATCGTCATTGTTTTTATCCGGTGGCTGACAAGAGCTTGTCCCAGGAAGAGAGGAGCACTATTTTCTTGTTAATGCTGGCATCACGAGTCTGAGCCCTGATCCGTGCTTTCTTTGCGATAAAACCACTGAGCCGGATTGTGAGGATTAGATTAGTTAACACTAGCTCATATAATCCGTAAATCTTTGTCCTGCGTTGGAGGGTAGCCAGCCCCTTAGTGTCATGGAGCTCTTACTGTCTTCAGAATATTCAAGCGAATATTGTATCTTTTTGACCTTAAAAAAAAAAAAAAGTAACACGTCTATTATTACAACTTGGGAAAAAACAGAAAGAAAGAAAATACAACTCATTCATCCTTATTTCCAGAAATAACCCCTATTAATATTTGTTACTCTGCTTCCTGCCTTTTTGCACCTAATTGAGATCATACTACATAACACGATTTTGTATCCAGCTTTTCTTTCTCAGTGTTCTATTTTGAGCATTTTTCTCATGTCATCACATTTTTCCAAAAATTTATTCTCGTGGCTTCTTCCACCAGATATAAAACAGAATATATGGTATATATGTACTTGGTCTCTTTCTTGATGTGTCAGCATCATTGTAAAGATACCAGTTACTCCCCTGTCAGAAGCCTTTGAAGTATGCGAGGCTGTCTGTCCCTTCACTACCTGGCCCCAGACACCTTGCTTTACTAGGTCTCTGCCCTCTGTTACAGCCCTGTAGCATTTGGATGTAGGGAGAGAGAGTGGAGGCCCGCCTCTCCCCCTAGCTTTACGCTCCTGGAGGGCAGGGCCCCTGGCCCTGGACATACCACCTAATACACTTGCACATGGTAGGGAGGCCCCGACTGTTTGCTGGACTGAGCTGATACTTCTTCTCTTTCGCTGCTGATATGATGTGACCTTGCTGGTTCTAATTTTATGACTAATTTTACTAGTTATTTAAAGGAGGCCTCAGAGTAGCTCTGAACTACTTCTGTGAAATGAAATGCAAGGGCTTTGTGATAAACCTCTCCCAAACTCTTGCATTATTTCTGGGTTTACAGTTTTCTACCCCAAATCTGACATCAGAAAGCTGATGCTAGAACTCATCCCCATAGTAAGAGCATTCCCTTGTGTAAGCACTTACTCTCGTGTCATGCACTGTTCTCTTTAACTCTTAACATGACCCCAAAAGACAGATATTTTTATCCCCACCCATTTTACAGAAAGGTTAAGTCAGCTCTGGAACCTGACCTGCACCTGCTCCCTGGCCCTCTTTGCGACTCCAAAGCTTCCTTCCTTTCTTTCTTCCCCATCGCACTCAGGAGGGAAATCATTGGAAATCATTCATTTTCAAATAGTCTTCACTTGAGAGATTTCCCACCCAGCTGCTGCCTGACAAAGATCATTGAGACATGAAGATAAGAGTGTTGTATGGATGAACATTAAGTTCACAGGACAAGTAACAGATTTCAGGCAACGCTTGGGAAGGCGTTTAGCTGAAATCGAGACAGACCTCGTCCCCGCGCATGGCCCAGGGGCTCTCGTCATAGGTAGTAGATCATTTGGTGGCCTAAGGACATCCTGCCACTTACAGACTCGCCCTGAGCGTCGGCAGGTGGACGTGAATGTGCCGTGTCAGGCTGAGAGGCTCGAGGAGCCCCGGATGTCCTGGTTCTGTTCTGTTGTCCTCACGGCCCTCGAAGCCTCCCCGGGGCCTGCCGCCGAGGGCTACACAGCAGTTTCTGGGTTTGTGGGACAGGGCGGTGGAGCTGGACATCACGCCTTCCCCTCCGCCCCAGTGTTTCCGAATCCAGGGCCAGGACCCCCAGGACCGTGTGAAGTGGTCAGAGGCACAGTTCTCCTGTGAACAGCAAGAGGCCCAACTGGTCACCATTGCAAACCCTTTAGAGCAAGGTAGGGCCAGCGCATGGGAAGGCCCCAGTATCCTCTGACACAGCCCCTCTCCCCGCCCCCCCCAAAAATGGCTAGAGCAGAGCGGGCAAGGGGCTGTCCTGTTGCTCATAACTCTCTCTTCTGGGGGACTGTAGCATTCATCACGGCCGGCCTGCCCAATGTGACGTTTGACCTTTGGATTGGCCTCCATGCCTCTCAGAAGGACTTCCAGTGGGTGGAGCAGGAACCTCTGCTGTATACCAACTGGGCCCCTGGGGAGCCCTCTGGCCCTAGCCCTGCTCCTGGCAGCAACATACCGGTGAGGAGGCCCCTCGCTCTGCTCCCCGCCCCGAAACCCGCGGCCCTCGCCTTCACTCCCAGGGTCTCCCCTCTTCCAGCCTCTTTGCTCAGAGGGCAGCCCTCTGGGGGCAGTGGCACAGGGCAGAGCTGCCGGGGCTCCTCTGAGTGGCTCCCTCCCCCCAGACCAGCTGTGCGGTGGTCCTGCACAGCCCCTCCGCTCACTTCACTGGCCGCTGGGACGATCGGAGCTGCACGGAGGAGACACACGGCTTCATCTGCCAGAAGGGCACAGGTAGGCGTCAGCCGTGAACTTGGGAACATCCGCACGGGCCCGATGCTGTGGGTCTTGCTGCGAGGAATGACGAAACACGGTCCCTGACCTCAGGGGGTCCCTTGGGTCACCCCCAGAGTCCACTATCTGCTTGGGAAGAAGACCAGGTGCCAATCAGAGGGAAAGGCAGTGAGGATCGAGGGATCTCAGGAGGAAGATTTGGGGGTCTGGGGGGCTGACCAGGGGCAGCCAGACACCGGGCATGCCTGGTGTCAGGGAACCTGAAGTTGTGCGTCTGAGGCCCCCGTGGCTCCGTGCCTGTTCTACAGGGGTTCCTGGGGTGGGAGTAGGTCAAGGCCGCTTCCTCTGTGGCTCGGCAAGAATGTTACTAGTAACAGAGGCAAACTCTGTCCATCTGTGCCAGGCGCTGGGCCCACTGGAGACCTAGTCTCTGCCCAATGTCTGGTGATCCCCCAGCTTCATGCCTGGGAATGGGGTGAGGGGGGCAGAGCCCGGCCTGAGCCCTGCCCCCTTCCCTGTAGACCCTTCCCTGAGCCCATCCCCAGCAGCGTCGCCCCCTGCCCCCGGCACTGAGCTCTCCTACCTCAACGGCACCTTCCGGCTGCTGCAGAAGCCTCTTCGCTGGCAGGACGCCCTCCTGCTGTGTGAGAGCCGCAACACCAGCCTGGCCCGCGTGCCGGACCCCTACACCCAGGCCTTCCTTACGCAGGCCGCCCGAGGGCTGCACACCCCACTCTGGATCGGGCTGGCCAGTGAGGAGGTGGGCCGGCACCGCTCCCCCGATTGCCGACCCCCACCCCCCGTCTCCTCCTGACTCCTTGCCTTACCTTACCTGCCTCTGTCCCCCGCCCCCACTACCGCCGGCCCCCTTCCTCCCACCCTGATGGCCCCCTCGTGCCCAGGGCTCCCGGCGCTACTCCTGGGTCTCGGAGGAGCCGCTGAGCTACATGAGCTGGCAGGACGGGGAGCCCCAGCAGCCAGGGGGCTGCGCCTACGTGGACGTGGACGGGGCCTGGCGCACCGCCAGCTGCAACACCAAGTTGCAGGGGGCTGTCTGCGGCGCGAACAGCGGTGAGTGGGATCGAGGGGTGGGCAGGGTGTAGGCTGTCCCGGGGAGCACTCTGGGCCACTTCCTTAATCCTGCACCCCTCCCCTCCCCACAGGGCCCCCTCCTCCCCGAAGAATAAGCTACCACGGCAGCTGTCCCCAAGGGCTGGCCGACTCGGCGTGGATCCCCTTCCGGGAGCACTGCTACTCCTTCCACATGGAGCTGCTGCTGGGCCACAAGGAGGCGCTGCAGCGCTGCCAGAGAGGTGGGCCAGTGCAGGCCAGAGCCCCCACGGGGTCATTTCAGGCGGTGACCCCTGTCGTGGGCGCTTAGAGGCTCCCGGAACGCAGTCCCCGTGCTGCACCCCGCCCACAGGCAGCTGTCACACGGAAGCGCCCCATCAGTTTCCAATACACAGAGCCCACGTGTGGCATCACACGTCAGTAACCCCGGACCTACGGGCACCACACACCCCGGACCTACGGGCACCCACAGTAACCCCGGACCTACGGGCACCCACACACTCCGCACCACCCTCCACTCAGGCTGGGGCCTCTCTCGGGGGGGGGGTCCTCTGCTACCCCAGGGGGACCACTGTCATCCTGATGTGGGCCTCCCTTGTGTCCAGCGGGTGGGGCGGTCCTGTCCATTCTGGACGAGATGGAGAACGTGTTTGTCTGGGAGCACCTGCAGAGCTCTGAGGGCCAGAGTCGGGGTGCCTGGCTGGGCATGAACTTCAACCCCAAAGGTGGGTACCCCTTGTGTGGCATCTGGAAGGAGGGTGAAGCCTCAGGGGTTTGGGGGGGACGCCTTCCACCAGGGCTTGGTGGGGGTGGGGACTTGCGGGAGGTGAGAATCAGTTGGAGAACAGGCCTGCTCTCTCCCACCGGCACCTGCTCCTCCTCCTCTCCTCTCCCGCACGCCCCCTCGATGTCTGCTTTCCCGTAGGAGGCACCCTGGTCTGGCAGGACAACACAGCTGTGAACTACTCCAACTGGGGGTCCCCTGGCCTGGGCCCCAGCATGCTGAGCCACAACAGCTGTTACTGGATCCAGAGCAGCAGCGGGCTTTGGCGCCCCGGCGCCTGCGCCAACATTACCATGGGTGTCGTCTGCAAGCTCCCGCGAGGTGAGCGCCCGGCGGACACGCCGCTCGGCCTCCTGCCGCCCCCGCGCAGCCGGTGCTGGGCCTGGGCCAGGGGCTGGCGTCTCATTCTGCCCGTGACCCAGCGGATGGGAGGGCACGAAGAGACAGGCCCCGGGGCCGCCGGGACCCTCCCCTGGGATAAACGGGTCTGTAGGAGGGACCGGCCCTTCCTACAAATTTCCAAACTAGACAGCAAACCCATCATTTTGTAGCGGTTAAGGGCATGGACAGGGTAAACCACTTACCAACTCTGTGACCTTGGGCAAGTTCCTTAAAGTCGATGGCCTCAGTTTCTTCATTTGCAAAATGAGGGTAATAACTGTACCTATGAGATCAAATGCGCTAATCAAGCGGCTGGCACTCAGGAAGTGCTCTCTGCTTGCTTATTATTACTATCACGTCTTCAGTTATTAACGGGTCCCCCCCTCTTCCTTGCAGCTGAGGAGAGCAGCTTCTCGCCATCGGGTGAGTCCCAGGCAGGGCTGAGATGAGTCCTCTCCCGCCTTGGCCTTGGCCCAGCATGCCGGGC